GAAAATTAATTTGGTCTTCCCTTTGGTCTGTTAGAAATCTCATAGAGGCTAAGGAAACAAAATTTCAGGTCCAGTTTAAGACCTCAGAAGAAGCAAATAAAGTTTCAGAGGAAGATCTGGAATTTAGCCCCAAACCTGACACCAAACTCAGAGAAGTTTGCCTATGACTCCATGCTCTGAATGTGTAAAACATGATGCCAGGAGCAGGCAACATATGTTTCTTTGACTGACTCCTGTACTGCTATAAAGCTTCAGAAAAACAAAAAGCAAATTTTAGTTAGGACTCTACTGCAATTAGTGCTTTCCTCAGTGCAGCCCTCAACTGTATCAACCCACACTAAATTCACAGAGTATGTGTGTAATTTGATAAAATTTAATCAACTAAAAATTTTGAAAAAGGATGCAGTTAAGAAGTGGTATTGCTAACAGTGATGAATGTCATGGAAGCAGTAGGTCAGAGAATCTGCTGCTCTCATTGAAAATGAACCAGATTTTGTGTTGATAAAAAGTTTTGATAACAGTGAATCTGCTCCCAATATTTTATTATTAAAAATATGCGTATAGGAAATGTACACAAATACGCTGTTTTCAGGTTCTTGCCTGTAGAACAGGTTAGATTCTTATTTTGAAGAAACCCTATGCATCTATTCCGTTTACAAATGAAACTGCACGATGTTCAGAGAGCTGTAAAGTAGCATTACAGGAGCAGTGGGAGATGAGAGACCTGCAACAATCAAAAGTTTGTTAACTGCTGTTTCAGAAGAGTACAGTAATGACTATGAATTATGGCTATGAATTATAAACCACATACAGTAAACTTACAGTAATTCTGTTGCTGACTCTTATTAGAGTTATGGATAAGAGAACTAAAACTGCATCGTGTGGTGTAACAGAGCTTCCCTTATTTCGTGTTCTAGGTTAGCAAGGTTTGACCTTTTTTCCTTAAGTTTCCTTCACTACATATGCTACTAAATTTTGATCAGCATTATCATGTATCCTAGCATTGATACCAGCAGTCAGGAGTAAGAAGACGAAATGTTAAGGACTGCGAAGTCCATGATCTGGTGGTTTCTGTCTTATGTCTGGCATATTCCTGTGGACAGTAACTCAAAGCATTGCAGCTACCCACAGGCAGAAAGAGCAGAACTGAGATGAAAGAAGGAAACACAGATGTACGGCAATTCTCAGATTTTTTAGTGAGGTGGGTTTTTTTTGAGAATGGAAGAGTTACATACAAATGGGCACAGAGCAGGGAATTAAGGTGCATGGAAGCAGGAAGGGAATAAACTATGCAGAGCCCAGCAGACAATTAGCAGAGCTTCAGTTTGATGTCAAAGACAAGAACAAGCCAGTGAAGGTATCTGAGAAGTGTCTGGAGACTTTTTTGATGATAAGCAGAGCAAGCTGAGTTCTAGACATTGCATGAAATATGTCATGAGGAGAAGCTGGAATAGGCAAGGCATCAAGGTGAACAGGGATTTTGGGGGAAGGTTCTGGAGATACTGTGAGGAATACCAGACACTACTGTGTGGTGCCACTGAAACTCATGGGAGAATCAAAGGCTATGTACTCTTAGTACATAAGCATGAAACAGGAAAGATACTCAATCTGCCAACAGTTAAAGACAAGAGAAAAAGAGCTGGAATTTCCTTGACACCAAGGAGTTTCTTTCAATCATGATACCACTAATTTTCCAAATGGCCCTGAAAATATTTGTTGAAGCATAACTTATCTTCTTTCAGAAACATTTTTGCATTCCAAGAGATAATACTGTTAGAATGCTCTGCACTGGTTTCCACTCTGCAACCTTTTGTAAGTGACTAATCCCTGTGGAATTTCAGGGGATCTGACCATGTAAATACCTTTACTTCCTTTTGAAAACCTTCTACCTTCTGTTAATGGATATGTAGAGAACCAAATTCTTAGATGATTTAGCTCAGATACTGCTAAATATGAAGGAAATTTACTAGGCTATCGTTCAAAATGTTTGAAAAATGTCTAGGATTAAAATAAACAAATAAACGGAATATACATCTGGAGATTTTTTTTAACTTAACATTTAAGGTTTTGTTTTGTGGTTTTGGTTTGTTGGGTTTTTCAATTTTCAATTAACTGTGCCTCAATCAATCTTTAAATGTTAATTTAATTAGGAGTAACATGTATCTCCAATGTTATTTGACTGTTTCCTCTAGCAAGCCATGTTATTTTAAACAATTGGTAAGTGAATCACTCGCAGAGGTCTCTGCAGAACTGAAGATTAATGCTGTTTTCTCCAGCATGAGACATTCAAATTCATCCTCTAGAAACCAATAGAGAACACTGCCTACCCTTCTGGGAAAATGCAAGCAATTCCATAAAGTTAGGAGAGGTTTACATTACAGTTGTCATATAAAAAAAAGTCAAATGAACCCATAAAAGCCAAAACAAAACCAGTTTAATACAGGTAAATCAATGCCAAACAAGAAAGAGGCAGCGGCTGCAGCTCATCTGCATGACTTCAACATAACGGAAGTGCACACATACAAGGAATTTAAAATGAGGGAAGAATCTGAATGTGAACAAAACTGAAATTAAAATCAAACACTGTACTGACTAAAAGGAAGGATGGAAAATGCAAGCAGCTAGCTGGTAGCAAACATTAGCTATAGCAGATGTGACTGCTATTAGCTCTAAATGCATGTTAAAATAAAGCCAGCATCTGTTCTCACAAACATGGCCTCAGTCATCTTAAATGAAAGGTTAGTTTGGAAATCAAAACTTTATAAAAGGATTAACAGCAACATTTGAGAGAGGCAGAGAAACCTGGTGTCTGATAACCACAAGCAAATGTTCACAGTCCTGGATGATCATCATTCTGCAGCTCTAAATGAGCAGTGTTTCATAGGAGCTGGTGAAGATCTTGCATGTAGAAGTCGACAAAACCTTTTAAGGATGGGAATGTAAGATTCAATGATTTGACTTCTAGACAAACAAAGCTGAGCAAGCAGTAAAGTAGATGTTGGTGACAAATGCTGAGAAAAGGGAAGCAAGTCTCACAGATTTTCAAATAATGACTAGCATTTAACTCTAAACAGCACTTACACAAAGAGAAAAGGAATGATTACAACAGCAGGCATCATAAAATACCGGAACCTAGAAAATGAAGGTACTAAGAGTATGAGTAACTCAATGGAAAAAAATCAATTGCACAGTTACCAAGGCTGGATGTAATTTCAGAAAACTGAAGGAAGAAACTTCCACAATGATGAAGGGATTACAGGTTGTAAAATAAGTGGTAGGAACTTTCATTAGAGAAATCACAAACACAATCAGAGTGGCAGGAGCTGAGGAATAAAAACTGAAGTGGAGGAAACGTGCTTGGCTGGGACTTCTTAAAAATGTTCCTAGCCACTGGCTGAGACTGATCCTAACTACTTAACAGCAGGAAAACATTACAGTTGAAGAGGACAAGTGACCCAAACTGTCAGTATTTGAGATCCTGCTCTTCCCATCGCACCATCAGTTATACAGTTGTACTGGCTATCTAAATTTATTTTACTAAATAGCATGCTGAAATAACTGTTTAAAAGACAGTCACAGAAAACTTGGCTTAGGCCATAAATTCTGAGAATTAATGTGTATATCAAAGAGTTTCTCAGTTTGGGACTGATGGTGAAACATTAAGTTAAATTTTATTTGCTTATTTAATCACCTTTATCTTAAGCAACAAAACTATGGGGGTTTATGGAACAGCCATCTACCTTATTTCTAGAATATCGTATAAAGACCAGTTGCTAAAGTAACAAGTCAAAAGTAAGAAGTTAGATGGCTTTTAGTGAGGATCTATAATAAAATTACGTAATTACTTTTTATATTTTAATTTCATTATAGTAAAGTTTGAAGTGTAACTAACACCACCACAAAACTTCAATTTGAAGTAACTATAGTTTACTGCTTAATAGTGTGGAGCAAGGAGTTAATGAGTCAATGGGACCAAAATGAAAATTACTGTAAATTCTGTGAAAATGCAGTTGTATATGAAATCTCTGAGGGCTATGGGAGATTAGGAAATAGGGAGCTTTTAGTAAATATTTTGGACTTGTGACACTTTGACTGTGACTAGCCATTGAGTCTGTCAAGCATGTAACAAAGACATAAATGAGACTGCGCGTTTATGGGATTGCTCAACCTGCAGTAACAACAGAAAGCTCTTACAGGCAGATGCCTGGGGAACTGCAAGAAACCATCCTGGTTTTACATCAGTCTCACAGTAAGTAAGGGCCCATGCTGTAATTATGAGTACTAGTTAATAACCTTTCCTGAAACTCTGACAAAGAACCATGGATGGAATGCATGTGGAAAATTAAGCTATTCTTGCTCAAAAAGCTGAAGATTTCAAACCCGGGGTTTTCTGTTTAGTGAGACAAGATTTGATCCTTCATCTGTCTTCTCTTTTTCTTGCCTGTGAAGCAGACATACTTTCCCCAAAAAAATCATCCTCTTTGACATACTATTTTCCAGGACACTAAGTTCAAGATCAGACATGTTAAGTAGCAAGTAAGAGCTAACTTGAGTTACTGACTGGCTTTTTCCTGCAGAGTTCTGCTCCTTTCCTATATTCAGATCAGTATGAGAACTAACTTTTTTGCTTCTCAGTGTAGATACTTGTTTAACATGCTGATCACCCTTCTTCCTTGACAATTGTGGGAAAATCACTTCATGGAAAAATCAGAGAAAATTGGGGCCTAACAGAAGATGTAGCATTAAGGAAACTTTTATAGGATGAAATACAGTTGCTACTTCCAGAGACAGTTGGCATACACAGAATCTACTCCACCACAATTCTCTAGGCAACCTGCCACCTTAGTACTCGTCTTTCCCAGGGAACGGACAGGCTGATGAAATATAAGGGGTTCAAGGAAAATCCCCTTTTAATGTGACACTGATCTATCAGGCTTCCTGCTCTCCACCTAACAACAATGCCTTTCTTCAAACAAGGTTAAGTGAATCAGTAGATTCACCACTAGTTCTGCTGATTTTTAAGTCACGGTTTCTCTGCAAAGACTGGACTGGAGATAAAGCTGAAGGAACCGGCAGAAGATCTGAAGTACTTTCAGCTCTTTGACTTGTCTTTGAAATTCTGGACCTGCTGGATTCCACCTCTGTGTCTGAGCAACCTTGCTTTGGGCTTTCAAGCCACAGAGGTTCAGGATTACTGTCAAGAGCTTCTGAGTCTCTGTCCGTACACTCAGCACTGGTGAAATCTTCTGAATAAACTGTGTTCTCAGGACTAGTAACGAAGTCATCTGAGTAAATAAATTCAGAGTTGTCTTCAGCACTCCTGCTGGGGCCTAGTTTATGATCACTTATAACAGATGCATTATCATGCTCTGTTGTTTTAGGATGGACGAAGTGTATTGATTCCTCATTACTTTTCTTTGCATTAGCATCTGATGGGAAAGCTACTGGGAGTTCGGTTTTTGCATACGTTTCCTTGTGAGCAGATTTTAATACAGTTTCCTCCAGTAAGGGGGCTGTAGATACTTTGCATGGATGTTCCTTGCTTGCAATTTGATCACTCTTAAGTGGACTTGCAGTGGCCTGTTTCTGCAGGTCAGGGGACATATCTTTTGTCACAGAAATGGACTCTGCGAGAGCACTGTTTTGTAATGAAGTCTGAATAGCTTTATCGAACTGATTATTCCGCTTTGAACTGTCTCCCTTGCTACAATGCCTGTAAGAAATCACATGCTGTCCTCCAGCACTTCTGAGCAGCTTTCTTTTGGATGAAGGGCTTCTCTCCTTCATCATCTCTATTTGCTTTTTTCTGTACTGTTCTCTCCTTTCATGAATTACCAGTTTATCAGGGTTGGTTTGCTGCAGCCGTAGCCTCAGTGTATTTGTCAGCCCATACAACAATTTCTTTCTGGGAGGTCTGTTTTCCTTAGTTCCGCAGTTCCTTTCAGAGCCCATCTCTACCTGGGGTACAGCTTTCCTAGATCCTCTCCCAGCCTGAGAAGATGCTGCAGAGATGGCCTCTTGATGGCCTTGCTTGAGTTGAGGGTTGGCAGCTCCATTGCTCTCACCAGGCCCCACAGGTGCCTCTGGAGGCTTGAGGGCAGAGGAATGGCTGGGGCTGGGAGCCTGTGAGGCCATGCCATTGCTTCCTGGAGCCCGGTAGAGCCATGCAAGAGGGGGATGTGCAGCACCAGGCACAGCACTGTGGGTGAACACTGACAGCTCTGCCAGCAAGGCACTAAGTACCGGCAGCTGCCCCAGGACACTGCAGAGCTGTGGAGGGCTGGCTGAGTGCAGCAACGAGGGCCCAGCACTGGGACGTGGGGGGCTCTGGTCCTTGCCTTTCTCCTGTGGTCCCCAGGCCTCGACACGTTCCCACTGCCCTGCAGCCGCTGCTGCTGGTGGCAGATGTGGCTTAGCAGTCTCATGGCTGTAATAGAGCATGGGAGGGCAAAAGATGTTGCCCTCCAGCACCTCACCCTCGTCCTCCTCTTCCTCGCTCCCCGGCTCTGGAGAGGTGGCAGGAGGCGTGGCAGCGCGGGGGCTAACGGGGCTCGGCGGGGACGGCTGCTCACCGGCCTCCAGGCTGCTGAGCCGGTAGCTCAGTACCAGCTCCCCGACGGGGCGGCCCGCAGCGTCCCGCAAAGGGAAGCGGCCGCGGCGACAGCAGGAGGCAGGCGCCCCGGGCCGCTGGAGCAACTCGGCTGCGGCGGGGGCCAGGGAGACACCACAGCTGCCGAGAAGGCGGGAGGGCCCCGGGCCGAGCCCCGCGGGCAGCGCCAGGAGCAGTACGCGGAGCGGCCGGCGGCGGAGCGCGGCGCAGAGTGAGCCCCGGCACCAGCGGAAGAGGCAGCGCTTGCCGCGGCCAAAGGGGAAGGTCCGTCCCGGCCGCAGGGGCAGCGCGGAGGCGGCGGGGAGCAGCAGGAGGGTGGGGAAGTCCAGGAGGCGCAGCGTTAAGGCCGGGCACACCACGGGGCCGGGGCCCGGCAGCGGCACCTCCACCTGCACCGCCTCAACCAACACCTCCAGTTCGAAGAGCCCCGCCGCCGCCGCCATGGCGACTCGCGCACACAGTTCTCGCGAGAGATGTGCTTGCTGAGGCCGCCCTTTCTCCCGCGAGAGTTGTGGTGTCAGCTTTCCCGGGAGTCGTTCCCCCAGCAACGCTCCTTTGCAAAGCACCCTGGGAGTTGTAGTCCGTGCCGGGCAGTCGGAATCCCAGGCACTGTGTTTTACCCGCTGGGGATCACTAGCAGCAGCCACAGAAGCCGGGGCGGGATGCCACGCTGTGCTCTGTCGGTCAGCGAGTGGTTGTGGAGGCCGGGAGGGATGTTACACTGTGTCCTGCTTCTTTCCGGCCTGTGCCCACCGCAAGAGAAGCATAGAAGTCTGTGCCAAGGGCTGTGTGCTGAAGTCTCTCCACAGTTGAGGGCCCATACTTACCTGAGATTTTAAAACCTGTGCTACTACATTAATCAGGTTTTTCTAATCAGCTGTAAATGTTGCCTCTGTCTGTTTAACGTCTCAGTCTCTGCAATGCCTGAGTGCCCTGGGCGTGCATTGGTAAAATTCCTATTTTTCTCTTCTACCTGCATGTAAAGCGGGAATTGCAGTGGACGCACTTGTGAGGAATTTCACTCCTCGCCTCCTGTGTGGCGAAGAGAGTGCCCTTCCTTCTCTGACTGCCCTTCCCTTACACCAGTCTCCTTGCCACAGGCACCGCAAATACTTGCTGAGCTGGGAAGAAAACTGTTTTAATTAGTAAGTTGACTCTAAACCAATGTATCCTGAACTGATCATGTGGGCTACAGTTACAGTACAGCCTCACTATTTACCACCACGGAAGTAGCTAAAAGACCAATCCCTTTCCCCTTTCTGTTGCCTTCTTTTTTCCCCTTTCCTTCCTCTGCCAAATTACAGTTAGTTTTTAGAAAAGCCAAAACCAGCAGGAAATGGTTAAAGAATCCAGCCGTTCACTGTTGGTCTCATCCCTTGGTCATTTTTATTTAAAGGACACCTTTTATTAGCTCTTACGTCTGAGAGCACAATTAAGGAATTTGACATCTGAGTTGTGACCAGGGCTTAAGAAGTAAATAAGTTCTTCTCAGTTCCTCCACTGTTTCTATTCTAAGAGCCACAAGTCTTTTGCAGTCAAGGCTGCTTGTGTTTGGGTGTTGCCATTGTACTGATACCATGGTAGATGAAACAAATGGCCAGTCCATTTTGCCGCCACGTTCATCTCCGGTCATCGGTCATCTGCTTTCCTTGTGTTTCCTTTTCCTCCACCCCTGTTCCCTTCACAGTTTAGTTGTCATTTTCCATAAAGGAACAATGGCAAAAGATTCCCTGATACACTGAAAATGACAGGCGTATTTAACAGTGGTCAAACAGACCCTTCTTGAGATCCCCCCGAAAAGCACTGGATAGGCATTTTGCCTGTTTTGCAGATGGGAATGCTATGACTATGATGTTTAGTCCAGGATTTCTTACCTAATTTTGAAACATCCAACTTGTGTAGGCAGGAACTTCATATGTCGTAACTGTGACTGGAGTTAGGGGGTAAATTATGGAGGAACCAAAGCCTTGTTTTAGTTTGCTGGGCCTCTGCGCTCCCAGTAGTTTCATGAGAAACTGAAGTTTCTTGTCCCTGAACATCAGCCCTGTTCCTGTATTTCATTTTGCACAGACAAGATAAATAAAAATTATTGAGTACTTGTGAAACTATAGGTGTTAGTAAGCTGTGTAAGATCAGTCAGCAAGTTAGTGACAAAATAGCTATTTAAATAGAAAGGGGTATTGATTTTTAATTTTGTTTTGGTTGGTGTGCTTTATTAAGCCAATCCTCTGGTCATGAGAGTGAATTTCTCTTCAAAATAAGAAGACAATGATATTTTGTTGTTAAATTGCAAATTATTAAAAAAAAAAAAAAAGACCATTTTCTTTCCAATAGTCCTAATTTCTACTAACTACCATTTTAAGGAGACTTGTGATAACACTTCTTTAGTTTGCATGTCACAAAATAGTGGTTCAGAAAATAAGCATGGCTGAGAGAGGCAGGGTTATGGAGCCAAACTTTATTACTGCTGCTGCCCCAAAGACAACAGGTATGTATTAGGATCCACATTGGTTACATTTAGTAATGTTCTATCTTTTTAAAATAGCCCTGGTTCTTCTCACTGCAGTCTTTTTAGTCCTTCTTTCTCAGAACTAGACTTCAATTCTTCTGGGCTTTTTTATAAAAGACTGAGATATTTTGCTGATTTAGCAAAGTCTTTCACTGACCTTATTTGTATGTTTGAAGTGCTATCATTTCATATCAAAAACTTCCAACCCAGACAATTGGTATCATTAGCAGCAACTCAGCAACTTTGTTCAAATCTATTTTTTGAAGGCTCTGAAATGCATTTCTTTGCCCTTAATTCCCATAAAATTACAGCTTTATTGATGTCTCTACACAAAGATTTTTCTATACAGTTGTATACCTGTTTATGGATGCAGAAGTATGACTAGTATGACTATTTTCTAGTATGACTAGAAAAAAAGTCTTGAGAAAACAGGTTTTGCTACATCTACAATTAAAACTACTTATTCTGGTGTCATTCTAAATTTTGCATTTTTTTTTCAGATCAAAGGCTGGAGTAAAGAGCCATTGTTTGCCTGGATATAAAATCGCTCTTCTCTCTGCAGAATCTGCAGGCTGATGTTTGGAATTTGTGCAAATATTTAGCCTGGTGGCACTCTGATTCAGAAAGGGGTCAGACAGTCTGCTGGAATATACATCTGCAACATAATAGCAGTTCTTAAAATACTTGAGCTTAAAATGCCACCCAGAGAAGACTTATTTAGTCTTTTCTCAGTTGTCTGTTGAGTCAGCCACTTGTGAAAAGGCAATAACAGGAAGAAATTCAGGAATAAGGAAGCCAGCCTTCAATAACTCTCTCAGTTTTCATGACCTCTCTTCTTCAGTTCAGAAAAAATGGGAAATTATAAAATACATGAGCAAAGCATTTGAGGGTTTTTGCAATATATTTAGGTTTCACAAAGAAAGTAGAAAAGGTTTCAAAAAGGAACAAAATCAAATGAGAATGTTAAATCTGTGCAGAAACTACTATGTTTCTGTATATTGTGAAGTGCTTTGCTGTTTCCTGTTTCCAGATTTTCTACTTTATGATCCTTAATTTCGTGCTGACAGCTCTAGTGATATACGGAGCAGTCTGAGAGAAGTTGTAATGATAATATTGGCATAGGCATTTTGATATCTATCAAAATGAAGGATGCTGTGGTTTCTCCCTCCTTCTCAGCATGTACCCTCCTGTCCGCAAAGTGCCCCATCAATTGGGTGATCAGAACAGCTGGTACAGAATCTATTCAGACATACAACTCCCTTGCATTGCTACCCTGAAGATGACTGTTAACTCCTCTTACTTCAGTGTGATAGCTTTCACGTTTATTTTCATTCTCTACTATCTTTAGCAGACTTTAGGAGTGTTAAAATAAACACCATTTGCCTAGTTGTGTGGCCCTTCTCCATTTGGCAAACACCACTCTGTCTCCTGTCTAATGGTTTCATTGCTGTCTTTAGGATTTTACTTTCTCAGAGTGGTGAGAGTTAAGGCTTATGGCAGAGTTACTTCTGCAAAGTCAACAGGGTGGCACACAGGATTGTTTTCTCATTACCTCAGGGAGGGGAAAATGGTTTGCCTTTAAGATACGTGTGAATTTGTGGCTTTCACAGCCAGCTTGGAAATACAACCCGTGCCAGCTTGCCTTCTAATTCCAAATTTCTTCAAAGAAAGATTAATGGGACTGCGGCAAAACACAGCTTCTCCTTCTGTACTGAGCAGCCCTCATAATCTTTCTTGGATCTGGGGAAACAGTCCAAGCAGACTCTTAAAGGAAACGTGGGAAGACCTGGCAAATACTAGAGAGAGAATGACACTGTGAGACCCAACAGGATGTCACAAATACAGGAGCTTAGACAACTGTATTGAACATAACAACAGGACATATCCAAAAATGTCACATCTGAGGTGATTTCCTTCATTTAAAAAGAGTTCTTATTAAAGCCAATGGACATTTTTGCTTAAAACAATAGTGAACGGTCAACCTCAGGATTCAGCCCATTGAATATTCTTTGCATAATGCCCAGCAACATGCAAAGCCAATTTCCTTAAATAGCTGGGTGTTATTAGCACATGGAGCCTTTACCATCAGTCTTTTATTTGATATAAACCATCATGAACTCATTTGGTATTAATGCAAACCGCATTGGTTCACATGCTGTCAATGTATCATGGTTTAAATTGTGTTACTCCCCATCCAATAGCTAGGAAGCTCTCAGAAATTTCTTGAAGGGATTGATTTATCTTCTTTGGCTTCATGGTTGCAGCCCATACTTGTCAAGCACATCTGTACTGCATGACAAAAGGATTCCAGGTGCTTAGCCATCCGAAGAGGACAGCTTCATCACACAGCAGCTCAGTTGCGTGCATATGTTTGAGAGGCAGAGAAAATCTGAACCAAAAGTTTTCTTCAAGGTGTGGGGGTCCTTCCAATTCCTGTTGTAGCAGGAGAGCAGGGTAGGTCCTCAGGGTTTAGCATGCTCTCTGTAGGCAGGGATTTCTCAGTCGCCACTTCCTAAAAAGCTATGTTTACAGCATTCCTCTAGCTCAAGCTGGGACCCACTGGGGGCAAATTGCAGTTCAAATATCTGACAGAGCTTCTGACAGGGAAAGCTGTTGTAAGCCTCAAAATGGTTCTTAAAGTCAATTCAATAGTTAGATGATTTTTCATTAAAATAAAATATTGCAGATGTCTGCAAATATTTGAGTAGGAAACATTTAGTATTGTGTGCATTGTACCATCACACTGATGACACTCGTTATTTAATCTGTCATAATTACCATTGTAAAGTATGTTTTTTCGGGAGGTTTACTGTACAGCTGTTTTGTTCACTGCACATTTTCAACTTCTAAGATGTTTTTCTTTTTCCATTTAAAAGCAAATTAAAATCAATTTGACTGCTTTGGGAGCTCTCCTTTAGAGAGAGCAAACCAAAAAGAGCCAGGGATGTT